AAAAATTTTTATATAACACTTAAAACGAATAAATGTTTAATGTTAAATTTTCTTTTCGTATTTTGGTTTAAAATATATTCTTTGTAATTTTTCTTTTAACAATATTAATGTTTTTTATGTTAATAAAATGACTTCTTTTTGTGTATTTTATTTATTTAAAATTTCTATTAATATATTAAGTGCGCTATATTTCTTCTGCACAATAGACACTGTAATTTTGATTAGATATTTAAAAAATTGAACAAAACCTTTTAAAACTGTTGGAAACTTTTATATCTAAAAATTTTAGTTGTACATGTAAAAATCATACATACAAACTAACTTTCAAACAATAATACGTTTCTGCACACGTTTAACATTTTTTTTTTTTTTTAATTTAACCAATGCATCTTTTTATTTTAGATCATACATGTTTACATCCATTTTGGCGTCTTACAAACATAAAAAAGTACCTAAATGAAACATAACATATTGTACTAGTATACTTTAATGAAAAGCAAAACAAACTATACGAATGTAGTATAAGATTTTTTCCTAAGAATTAATTTCCATTTCCATTTTTATTATCATAATCATTGTCTAAAGAACAAAATAAAATAAAAAACTGTTACAAATATACCTCTATACATATACATCAAAAAATTAGACTCCCGCAGACATGCCTTGATTTATCTTTGCTTTAGTTCAAGATCTTTGAAAATTCTTAAGTCTTCTTTTTCATTAGCTATCGTATACACGATGTGGCCAATTATTCTATTGTAACAGAACCAAAGATTATGACCACCCGTTACTTTTAGTCGTATCAAAAACAGTAATATCCTTAATGATTATAATTTTTTTCTTTAAACACAAAAAAAAAAAGATTTTCATTTACCGTGCCTTTTAACGTATTTCAAAATACTATTTTTTTTTTAACATTAAATATAATTTATTAATTAATGATTATAAACTCAATTTCATCCATTTTTTGTATAGTTATTAGTTAAAGACATATTCCATGATTAAACATCGGTTGTGAATGAATATATTATCCGTCATATCCCTAACAGATACAATAATAATAAGAGAACTGTTTGAATATTTTATGATACGATGAATATAAATGAAAAATACTTTTAGAAATAATAGGCTGGAAACACCTGCAAAAAGGATAACAGATACCGAGAGAATGGATTATTGGTGAGCACAACTGATCTCTGTATAACAATAACGATGTACGGCTTAGAATTGTTAGGACACTTTTGCTAGACATAAAGCTACGAAAACCATACTTAGTATGAGTGACCATTAAATTTCATCACCTCTGAATATCTATTTAATATACGTAATATCCGTATTTATTTATTTATTTATTTATTTATATATTCTCGTATATGTTAGAAATTATAATATATATATAAATATAATTTATTACATTCTTTTACCACGATTTCTGGTTTGAATTCACTGTCATTCATATAAAAAAATACATATAAATAATATAAACTCCATTTTACTTCCGTGCTTTGCTAAGCCCCCAAAAGCCAATGTACTTTACTAGATTTTTAGATAGTATAATTATTTTATAAATAAACAAAATTTAATTTAAAATACGATTTTTATTGTAAACTGATTTTGTCATGTAAAATAAATAACTGTATTTATATGTAATTCTTAAATAATTTGTTTTTATTTGAATAATTATCCAATTTTCGAATTTTTTTTTTTTTTAAATACACATATTATTTGATATTAAATTAACATATATCTTTATACCAAAAAATTTAGCGTAGAATTAAAAACATTTTATAGTAAATTACATATTAAACTTGCTAGTTCAATTTATTGTTAATGACATTAAGATATATGCATCTTTTCGAATAATCATAATCAGAGTTCGGATTAGGAGGCAAAAGCATTTTTTTAATAATTATAATAGAAAAATAACTTTTGCATAAATATGTGTTTCGTTTAATATCTAAGACAGTAGATGTATTTTTTGTTTTTGTCTTTTTTGCATATAAATGTCTTTTTTTACTTTTAAATGCATTTTTGTTTTTTTTTTTTTTTTTTGTCTACGGTACAATCGATGAACTGTGAAGACAGTGTATTTTCGATGTTATATTTAAAATTATTTAAAATAGATTAACAATTAGAATGGAGAAACAACAAGTGATACTGATTTAATAAGTAGTTATCTTAATTTAAATAATTATTTATATGTAAAATACACCCTAATAACTTTGATGGACGTAGAAAAATCATTTTCTATATGTACAAAAATATTATGAGCCTAATACGTCAACGTTTTACTGAAGATAGCTTATCTAAGTACATGGTAATGAATATTTTTTTAATACCAACTAGTTAGTATATTAGATTTTGTTGCATATTTTTAATTGCTTTTTTATATAAATTAAATGCCTTTTTTCAAATATTAAATGCTTTTTTTATTTATTATATTGCCTTTAAATCTGAACTCTGATCATAATATATGCATAAATCATATATTTGTACTTAAATCAAAATAAATAAAATGAATTTCAAACGATTCTAATTTTCTCTTTAGAATTTAGATTTTTGTATCATAATGATATTATATAAATTTAATACAAGAGACTGAATACGTAAAATTTTTACTTTCGATCCTCGCCGCAATTAATTTTTATGGAATACACGTGAGTTCAATAATTTAAACAACAATGCTTTAGCCAGTTTATCGCAATAGTAATTTTTTTTTTTTCACGTCATACTCATTACTAATTTGTATATTTTTATTTAAAGAACAGTAGTTTACGTAATTCATTTTAATGTTACTATTTACCAGATATACTTAATAAAAAATAAATTTAAAGAACCCCCATGGTTATAGTAACTAAAATTATTTTAATTTTTTTTTTTTTTTAATAACGTTAATAAAGTTTCCCTTACTTAATGTCTAAACGTAGTGTCCACTCAATATCATACATTTCTTATAATTGGGAATAAAGTATATCAATATACATATTTATATATAATACAAACTAGTAATTAATTATAATTATAATATAATCAGTGGCATATTTTCAATTTTTTCTTTGGGGGGGGGGGGGGTCGAGACCCGGAAATCCCTCCCCCGTAAATATGCCACTGAATATAATAGTTATCTTAAAAAAATAATAATTAGTATAAGTTTCTTTATAAAATAAAATGTAGCAACGGATAATATATATATATATATTAAAATATTCCAATTAAAAAAATATATGTATATGATTAACAACGCATATTTTCAGTATTGAATTTAGTATTTTATAACAGTTAATTTTATTAAAAAATATGAAAATATCGTTTTTTTCTTATGATTTAATTGTTATATACACGATGTACTATAATATAAAAACGTTAAACTACCTAAATAATAAGCCTAAAGAAACCTTGGTAATCATAATATATAAGTTTACATATTTTTATGAATTCGTATACATTTCAAATTTTACAGTTGTTTGAAAGTTTAATAATAAGTGACTTTCATCATCATACAAATTTTGTAAATAGTAAGTTTATTTAAAATGTTTACTCAAGGGATTTTTTTTTTATTACTATTATACTCTTTTTTTATCCACAATACATACTAATGTGTGACTTTTTCACCAAAGGGACACTGTAATTTCAATGTGCAAACTACATATTTAAAATAATACCCAATTAAAAAAAATAATAAAAATAATACAATTGATCTAAACCTTTATGTATTTTATAGGTAACTTCAAAGAAATAAAAACCTCTAGATAATAAAAAAAAAATTTTAATTGAACAAATAAATATTCAAGTACCTATTTAATTTGACGAAAAACCAAAATAAAAAAAAGCGAAATTTACTATAGCTGAAGTACGATTTGTCATTGAGTAGATCAGTGTAATAGATGTGTTAAATTTAAATTCAACAAAAATTAACTTAATTTGAAAAACTGTAGCAATCGAAGCAGTAGTCAACCTCTATTTTTCAGAATATATTTTATAATTTATTTTTATTACTTTAAATAATATATAAGAAAGCTTAAACTCATTTTTGCAAAACCATTCCATAATATATTATGTAATAATTATTATAATACAATATCATATAATTTTTCTTTAACTACATTTTATAAATATCGTAGAATAATGTGTAGAAAGATCATATTATAAATAACTTAGAATTAAATTAAATATTTTGGAAAATACAATTTATGTCTTTAGAATATATTAATGATAAGATTTTTTAATTTTTGAAATTAATATTTTCTAAATTCAGCAAAACAACAAAAATCATCATTTTCTGTTTGTATATCCAATTTTAAATCTTTTCTACATTTAAATTTTTCTACGAAAAGTATATGAGAAACCTTGTATTAAATTTCAATGGTTTTTTTTTTTTATTTAACCTAAATTTAAAAAAAAAATAAATATTTTTTTATCGTAAAATGAGTTGAACCATATTCAAAACGCTAGAAATTATTTCGTAAATATTTATTGATAATATAATCTACTGTAAATTACAATAAAATCTATTTTCTTAAATATTGTTCGTATCTATACCCTTATTTCCGTAATTTTATTTTTAGTTTTTTCTAATTGTTCGAAAAGTACTTAAAATGTATTACTTTTAACCTTCTGAGCTACTAACTATATCCAATTTTCGATTAAGAACCACCTTCTAAGTTGAAAATTGGAACATTTTTTCTGCTTTAAAGGTAGTGATAGTACAAACACACACAAAATTACTAACATTATTGTTAAACCAATTAATTCATCGCATCGTTCAAAATTTAAAATAACATAATATTACCACTATTAATATATTTTATTGAAATCGAAAAATACAGCAAATTGTGCTTGAAAGTTATCTGACTTAAATGTATATTTTGGACCATCACGTGAACTATATATTATACTTATAGTATTTTTGACAAACGCATATTATTTTTAAAATTAACTTTATAAAAATTGTATACTATATCTTTGTCACTACTAAATTAAAAAAAAATAATTAAAATTACCTGTTACACGTCTGTTTCAATGAATTTTCCATACATTTTGATCTGAAAACACATTTATAAATATGTATATTAATTAACATTTAATATAAATAAAATGGAATACACAATTTAAATAATAAAAATGTTATATAAATTTGTATTAATATAATACTTATTTATTGTATTATCTAATATCTATTTTAAGATAATATTGTGAAGTGCTGGGTATGTCAAGACGTACTCGTATATAATATAATTATTATGTTGGTTCAACTTGACACAATATAAATTAGTATCTCATACCTTATCAAAGACGTTCAGCCAAGAAAACGGTATTCCACAAGGATCATCTCTGGCAGTTACACTTTTTCTCTTGGCCATCAATGACATAGTTGAAACAATAAAAGCCCCCGTAAAATCTAATTTATTCGCTGACGACTTCAACATATTTTGCAGAAGCAATAACCTAAAAACTGTCCAAGAGTTTCTACAAACAAGTGCTAACAGCCTAACTGATTGGTCGAAAAAAACTGGCTTCTCATTCTCTAACCTCAAATCAAAAAGTATTATCTTTACAAAACAAAAAAAAATAAAAGTTCTCAATATAACATTAGATAACCTAGTTATACCTCATCATAATAAAATTAAAATTCTAGGAATAACTTTCGACTCCAAACTAAATTGGCTACCCCATCTAAAAAACATCCGCGACTCAATATCTCAAAAACTAAATATAATTAAAATAATTGCTCACACATCATGGGGTGGTGACAGCTCATCTCTTTTAATGATTTATAAAGCTTTAATTCGATCCAAAACAGACTATGGTTCTATACTATTAAAAAATGCCAAAACCAACCACTTAAACATGATACAAACTAAACTAAATACTGCTATAAGATTATCAATCGGGGGATTCAAATCCAGCCCAATTGAGAGTATTAGAAACATTGCTAATGAAATTTCACCTAACCTTAGAAGAGAAAAACTACTTTTACTATATTGTGCCAGAACTAAAAGAAACATAAATAACCCAGCCATCAAAGTAATAAATACATATATACAAGAAGCCGAAAAAGAAAACATAAAAATAAGCAATATTTTAGAAAGAAAACCATATAATTTCCCCCCATGGAACACAACATTCAATGTTAACCTCTCTCTTACTGAATTTAAAAAAGAAAACACAATGCCTTTCATATATAAAAACATGCTCAAAAACATACTACAAGAGCATCCAAACAGCGTGCACATATATACTGATGCATCCAAAACAAACGATGGAGTTGGGCTTGCAATGATAATAAACAATCAAAAAATAACATACAAACTTCCACCTCAAGCATCTATATTCACAGCAGAAGCGATGGCAATATACAAAGCCGTAAAATATCTCCACACAGAATATGCTAACCACCAAACAAAATTTATAATACTTAGCGACTCACTCAGCAACTTAATCGCCATCACAAATACACGTAACCAACCTGATATCACAAAGCTCATCCAAGAAGAAGCCTTCCTAGCAGAAAAAAAAAATAAACACATCCATTTTGTATGGATTCCGGGACACATAGGTATTCCCGGAAATGAAATGGCTGACCAAGAAGCTCACAATGCAATCGTCTCTACATCAACTGTAACCATAAATTCCATCACATTCTCAGACGCAAAGAACGAAATTAACCTACACTCAAATAATAAATGGTACTCTCACTGGCAAAAACTTAACACAAAACTCAACAAAATAAAAAATAATATAAACCTATGGAAAAATCCCGACCTCAATAGAAAAGAAGAAACCATAATAAACCGCCTCCGAATTGGACACACACACTTAACACACAGCCACTTGATGAGTAAAGATGATCCTCCACTATGCGACTCATGCAGCGTTCCTTTAACCGTCAACCACATCATCACCGAATGTCACAAATACAACCAATATCGAAACCAATTCCACATCTCCGAACAAATCTGTCAAGCACTTGGACCAAACCCACAGGACATTAAAAACTTAATTTTATTTTTAAAAAAAACTGAATTGTATAATTTAATTTAATGTAAAAATGTAAATACTTAAAATACCAACAATGTAATCAAAAAAATTCTTGTACTAATGGCCTAGCTGTCGATGTGTTTTAGATCAATAAAAAAAAAAAAAAAAAAACAATATAAATTCTAGATAACCAAATGTACTTATAAATATGTACATATTTATAAACATATATTTTTGAAATAAGAAAAAAAGTACAATAATTCATAAGGCGATAACAGTTATGTAGGAAACATCGATGTTCTAATATTAAAAAAGTATAGAAAGTAACTTTTATTAAAAATAATTTAAGTTCTGGAGTTTATAGCATACCTTCATACTATTTCCAATAAAACGATTATGTTTCATACATGTAGTTAAATTATAACATACATTTTCAAAAACATTATAAATAATATTAAATGATATTTTATACGAGTATAAAACAGGTACAGAAAAAATCATAATAAATAATATTTTTTTTTTTCACTCACTAAAAAAGTATTTTATTTTAAAAATGTTTATTGTATAAATTAAAATATTTATTTTTTTATCTGTAATGATAAATTTTCATGTTATTTACACGTTATTATAATCCTTTTGAAATATTATTAATTACATGTTATTTATTGAACTACCAAATGTATCTTCATTATCGTCAGTTTTCATCATCGTCAACATAAATATTTTAGAACCAATGAATAAATAAATTACATATAAAATCTTTTTCTTCTAAATATACTTGAAAAATGAAATACGAGTACATAGTGATAGCGCTGATTTTTTTATAAAATAATACTTATAAATTCATAGATAAAATATTATTTATACTTATAACTTATTCATTAGATCACGCAGTTCGTAAAAAAACACCAAAATTATGACAAATTATTAAGGTTTATCGGTGATTAACATTTTCTGTCGCAACAAATAAAGAAACTCCGTTTTTATACCAACAACGGTGCATGAAAAGAAGATAATACAAACTATAAAATACCTTAACTCGATTTTGAATATTTGGTGACAAAGTACAACGGAGAAGTCATACACCAAAGTATTGTTTTTGACCTGAGAAAACAACAATGCAATTTACGGTTATAATTTATAAGAGCAGTACGATGCCATTTTAAATGAACATCAAATGAATGAAGTCTATTGTATTCGTCAAATATCATCGTTAAATTTATTATCAGTGTGTATGTCACATTTGCCGGTGTTAGTCGCGAGTTGTGCTCGTCTATTAATTATCATCGTGTACAAAATTGTTCGTTTTATTATGTTAGTTAAATTTGAATATTTTTTTTCTACTATGAATAAATGTAGATATAATAGAAAAAAAAGAAAATTTAATAAATATCAAGAAAAATACATTTCTGAACAGACCTAAACGTAATAATCCGGAATTTTATAATTTAATTCTGAAACAAAACCAAATCATCGTAAATATGAAGAAAGTTACTTGAATAATTATAGTTTACGCATACGGTAGTGAGGAATTAAGAACGTCCACATAGTGTTATTTGTTCTAAAGTGATGGCTATTGAAAGCATGCTTCCTAATAAAATAAAAGGCCATTTGGAAATAGTAAATGGAACTTTCATGAATAAGCAACGTACCAACGTATTATGAGTTAAAATTAAAAGTAACGCGTGAGCAAAATCAATCTTTTCTAACTATACTATGATCCCTTCTAAGGCTTTGCTTTCATCTTACAAAGTAGTTTATTAAGTCACTGAATGTAAAAAGCCACACACTATCGCAGAACAACTCATTTCACCAACAGCAAAAGATATGGTTTCAATTGATTTCGGGAAGGCTACTGCCAAGCAATTAACGACTAGATTTTTTACATTAACTGCAATTAAAACAAAACATCGGTCAACCAAGATTTGAACATATTTTGAAACATAAACAAGCTTATCCATCTCACTAAATAACTTTTTTATTCATTTGTATTTATTAAGCATAAAATATTTAATTTGATTTTTCTGTATTACCTATTTATTTGTAAATTGTTTTATATGGCCGTGTAATAAATATCAATACACTATACCTATAATAATTTACATATATAATACAACCATTGCTTTTTTTTTATTATTATTACTAATTTAGGAACCGTCAAAATATTGTAAAGACACAAAATAATAGTGGAATGAAAAGTTTCAATACTCCTGGAATAGACTAAAGACTGTTATCTCAGATAATCCAAGTCCCAAGTCGTAGTAATTTCATCATCACTACTATTCCGCCAAAATTCGTAAAACACGAAATATCTTTATATATCTCAAAAGCTGTCGTCTAAAGTTAATATAATAAGACAAATGTTGTGTGAGTGTAAAACAGACATTCCACAACCTAACAATCAAAGGAAAAATATAATAATTTATCACGGATAAAAAACTATGATTATTCAATAAGGTATAGTATATTAAACGTTTTAAATATACTTAATAATATTTAAATAAATACAATACTTATTATACTAACAAGAGCTATTTGATTTTATGGTAAATAACAAAATTCAATATCATTATTTTACTGATAAAAAATCATGAGATAATTTGTACTATAACTGGTTTTATTAAGACTTAGTGGATCACATATAACTAGCATGTATATGCTAATACATCTTAAGTCATTTGAAATCGCCATGTTAACAAATTTTAAAAACCTTAAAATCAGCAAAACTTATTTTAAGCACTAACCTTGAATTGGGCAATATTTTAATTAAAATTTGAAAAAAATACATTATGATATTATGTACTATATTATAACTTATCTTGTTTCTAAACCTATTCTTCGATGCATCTATTTAGTGAAAACGTTCTTCTTGAAAAGATTTAACATAAGAATAATAATTATTCGAGGATTTATTAGTTGTCGCATACGTTATCAATCCCAATCATTAATATTTTTGTTGCGTGATCTAGTCTTTTTTTTTTTTTATTTAGTATAATTTATTTTATTTGTTTGTGAGCTCTTATATTTTTATACCTATTATATGAAAATAAATGTTTAAAATGTCATTCAGTATTTTAATAACTTCTAGCCACTAACTACAAAGGAGATAGTGTTGAGATATTTTACTTTAAACCAAAATTATTTCTCTTCTTTATTTTTATCAACTTTCTTTATTCCTTTTCAACTACAAGCTAAGTGTTACCATTGGGTGATGTCTTAATCGAATAATCTCATGTTTTTTTTTTTTTTTTATAATATATTTTTATAGTTTATTTATTACGATATTATGTACAGATAGTTTAGTTTTCTTAACAATTTATGTATAAAAGTGTTTTATAATGACCATAGTAACAAAACAAAACAGATATATATGTATATATATAAATAGTTTAAATTATAAAAAAAAAAATAACATTTATGAAGATTGAAATATAAAAAAAACATTTCAGATAAACATCTTAGAAGGGTCGTCAAAATTGGTAGTTGGTATTGTTGGTAAGCGTAGTGAACAAGTGGTGAAACCTTCTAGTATTTTATGATATATTATGATTAAGTGAAAAAAAATTAGTATAATGTAGTCTTACATAAAATTCATGGTTAAAAACCTAACCAAAGGATTTCTAATTATTTGTATAAGTATAAAATATTTTATTTGAATTATGTTCTCTGAAAAAAGTCATTATAAAAATGGAACACTTAAAAATATCTATGGTTACTAATGCTTTATGTTTATTATGTTTAAATTTTAAGTAGTTTATGCATAGGTATATAATTTATATTTGGTGAATTGTCGTATCGTATTCAGCAATGCATTAACATAATTCTTATGTTAAATTAGGTTTATCTTCAAAAATCAAATTAAATTAAAAATCTCAAGCATTAGAGTTAAAAATATTATAATCATTGTAATAATATGACACTAAGTTTTTTCAACAATAAAAGACACACTCTTGCAATTATTAAGCTCGCGGGTGTAGCCACTTCCATTTTAATAGGAGCATAATATAATATTTATGTCTGGATATAATATTTGAAGTACCAACCTCAACAAATACATACATATTGTACAACAGAAGGTAACTTAAATTACTTACCGCAATAATTAAATAATGAAAAATTAAAATATTTGAAAGATTAGTAAAGGAAAAAAAATGGGTTTATTTTTGCTTTATTTGTTATTACTTATTACCATGTACTATAAGAGAAAATAAATTATGAAGATTAATTCCGTATGGTAACATTTTTGAGTGATTGAAAATCAATACTTGACGTAACAGCTTGGATACATAGCTATCGATTTTAATTTTTGTATAACATCATTATAGATATATACATAATAAATACAATCCTCTCTAATATTATAACACTCATCGGCAGTCAATCAGAAACTGATTTATGACTTTTTATAGGAATCAGGTTTATTAGACTTTAAAATCATTTAATGAATTAAAACATTTTACTTTAACTGATTAGAAAGATAATTGTCATAACTTACTACATTTTTTCATAAATGTAATTGTAAATTGAAGTGGACTTTATTTCATGAAACTTTTTTTTTTAAATTAAAATATTTGTTTTTAATCAATTAGATAAAGTTATAGTATCATATAATATATTATATTACGATAAAATAACTTAATAAAAAAATAATTATTATTATAGTAAATAATTAAAATATTAATCGAAGAGTTTCAATACTATTTTAAGAATAAAAATATAAGGTTTTTATAGAATAAAATCAAATATTATAAAAAAATATTTAAGTATATCATATCTAAATTTTATTTTAAAAACATTTAATATAATCTTACTTTGAAAAAAATGTATTTTAATGGGATTTTTTAATCAAAGTTATGACAAGTATATTAAATAAAATAAAATTTAATTTATTAAAAATTATAACAATTAAAAATAAAACAATTATGGTGAAAAATTTTAAATGTTTTTCTTTTTACATACTTTATTTAATAATAATGTGTATATCATAACTACAATACAAAACATAGAATGCACATAAATAATTTTTCTAAAACAAATACTATAGTAAAATGTTATTAAAATAAATAATTAACAATAATTAATAATAATATTATGATGATCAAACGATTATAATGATAACTATTAACAATTTTATAAAGTAAACTGAACGCTTATCTTATTTGATACTATATTTAATATACTTATATTAATCAATTCCAATAAATGTGAATTCGTGGTATAATACATTATAATATAAATTATACACTTATATACATGATAAAATGTAAATATGGTATACTGAAAATGGTTTCAATGCATTCTATAAGCGTATCATTTAATTTTAGTAAGTACTTACACTCTTGTATTAGGAAAAATTAATATTAGACAATAAAGTTATGAATAAATATTAAATTTAAAAATATAATATAATTAAAAAAAAATCCTTTAATTTAATATATTAATACATATTACTCATATAACCGTTCTTTAATATTCAAGTTTAAAAGTAAATATAATATTTAATTAGTTGTCAAAATAAAATAAATTACTTAAAACTTGTAATTTACTATAGAAAATATTTAAATTATCTTTTTTTTTTAATATAATATATATTAAAGTAAATAAAAAAAATACTTGACAATTAATTTAATCTTAAATCTGATCTTAAACGAATTATCTATTCACCTAAATTTAATTATCAATTTTAATGAACAAAGTGTTAATTAAAATCCATATTTCCTTTATTTATTAGTATATTTTAGGTTTTCCATTTTAAGATTTTCTAAACATTAAATGTTATGAAAAATTTTACATATAAATTTAAAATATTATAATTATTAATTATTATACAAATAATTTATTTTTATTAATTACTATAAACATACATCGTAATTTTTAATTAAATAGCATAGTGTACGTATTTTAAAATATATTATGTGACTAATACAGAATACTGACAAATATAACAACCAAAAATTGTTGATATTTATATGGAAATACAACTTATTTCTAGTTGTGAAAATATGGCTTTGAAGTCTGGTACTTTAAACGTGAAAACTACCATGTTCTCATAGGCATTTCACGATCTCTGATTATCATCATGTCCATCAAAAGTTTGTACCAAACTTGATTCAGTATTATAATATCATAACAAAAACCTCATTACGAATAAATTCTTAGCTGCTTTTCAATGATGTAAATCCATTACGGTCATACTATAATAAATTATATCTCTTTTCTTCGTACTAAATTTCACTGATTTTTAAATGAAAACCCTCTTCCCTTTTTTAGTGTAAATTATTCAATAGATATATCTCTATATTATTTTTAATATTGATGTATCGTATTTAAAATACAAATGAATAATTTTTCAGTTGCTAAAATATTTATACTAAGAATAGTAGTTCTTAAAAATGATATGACAAAAATATAAAATATATGTAGTATTAGATCTTAAATATATTATACTTGGAATTTAAACTTAAAATTATTAATGCTAATATATTAATATTGAATATAAATGTTTCTAATCTCTGTAGCTATAAAAAAAAAAAAAAAAAAACATAATATGTATTATACGTATTCTAAACTCATTTTTGTGGAACTATTATCCTTAGGACATAAAGTTAAATAACTCAAAAACAATTTTTCGAATTTTGATTCTGATACATTATAATTTTTAGAAAAATGATCTACAAGTAATTTACGGTAGAAAAGAGGGCTTTTCATTTGAAAAATAGAAATTTGAATCTCCTAAGACATTCCTTAATTATTATGTAAATCTCAAAAATTGTATAAATATATTTAAAAATTCCAAGTAAAATAGGATTTTGAATAACTGAATTATTATATAAATAAAAAGGGAACAAGTAAACGTTTGCATGTTATTCTATCCATCTATATTACAAAACAACACATATCTGACTATTAGTACAATTATTAAACATATTACTACATATTATTATTATAAACAATTTTGTCTTAATACTTTTATAATTTAAAACCACTGTCTACAGTGGTTTAATTTTTGTATAATCCATCATATTGTATAGCTGTACAACGAACAGTAATTTCGCAATTCATTGATATTAAGCAGTTCATAAAATTATAGAAAAGTGTCCGTTTAACGTATTGTACAGTTTTTATGAATGTCTAGGATGGCAGAATATACCAAATACGTTTCAAGTATATTACATGATTTCTGCAATTATCTTGTCTAATTATTATTAATGATCGTTATATTAATCAAGGTTAATGTATCTTAACAGATTTTTGAAATCAAAGCGTCAATGTTTAATTGTATGCTGATTATAATAATATCATTTAATTTAAGTTCTAAAAATTATCTCATAGTGATAAAAAACATTATTAATCAATGACCAATATAGTACCTCATCAATGATATTACTATAAATAATAAATATTTTGTTAAAATAAATAAATACTACTATACGACAAGACAAGACACACTTGGGAAATTTTACGATACTGAGGAGTTTGTAAATGTTATTCTTTTTAAATACAAATTAATATCTATTATTTTTTAATGATGCACACAAATAATTTAAGCAAAATTAATATATATATATATATATATATATATAATATTTTTTGTCGAAGTGGTACATGGATCAAATTATCAAATATGTCAAATGGAGAATAATCACAATATTATTATTATTAACACGTATACGTATTAATCAAATTTAATATACTATTAATATAATATATTTTGGTATGATGATAATAGGGTAAACATATTAAAATTTATAGCTATGAATCGTTCAAATAAGTAACTTTAATGAAATATGATTTTATAATTAATTTACAAGTCATCTCGTATCAGAAGAAAATGTATCTGAAATCTGAACTCAGATTAATTTTACTTTATTACATATACCTTATTATGTTATAATAAAATATCCATTACAAAGATATAAATACTACATATGTTAATATACTTTTATTTAAAAATTATAAATTAATGATAGATGATAAAATAAAATATCAAATTGTATTGCTTAATTATAATTATTGGACCATGAATATTGTTGATGAATTTTTTTTTTTGGTATTTCAAATAAACTAGAAATACTAAATATATGAATGACAACTGTATTTTTTGTATTGACATTCGAAATATACAGCACGTTTAACCCGATACCATGATTTTTTTTATTCATATTTTAAATTATTAAACTATTATAATTTTTATAAAAGTTTGTTGTTTCTACTATTTTTTTAAATTTAATCTCACTTTATTTTTATTTTAAAAACCAATATTGATTTCATATATTACATATATTTATGAAAATATATTTTAGTATTTCTTCATAACTTAAATTTAGCTTATGAACTAAAATATTTTGTTATACAAAATAAAAAAAAGCAACAACATTACTTCTAATACTACATAGTTATAAATAAAAATAATCTTACCTATACATATTATATACTCTATTAATTATTATAATTCTTGTATTAAATATTTTATATTATATGTACTAACACTAATACATATTTTTCAAATAATATATAAAGTGTTTTATTTATCATCAAA